GGGCCCACACGCGCGACCAGAACGCACGATTCTCGAAAGGCTTTTAGTCTGGTCATAGGTAAAAGTTCAGTTTGACTCAAGATCTCTTTTTTTGTAGTTGCTGATTGTTCAAACAGATTGCTGTTAGATGAAAAAAGCGATTTTCAAAATGGCGACGGCCACTGGCCAATGTTTGGGCCGTGTGGGGGCAATTTCCGAATGACAAATCTAAATGAGACTGATCATCTCACCCTTTAAAAAAACCCTCTTTTTCATACTTTCAAACATATTTTATCTTTCCTCTCCCTACAGTTCTTACAGCTCGGAATCTTGTTTGTAACTGTGCATGCCTACTTACCAGACCTTCGTGCAACGGATCCCTGTGTTGACACATGTTGAAAATTAACAAAATACACGTTTAAGTGAAAAATAACATTGATGTCATGAACCAATCCCGGAAGTAGCTGCTTTATTGTGGCATGGAAAGTAGGAGGGAAAAAAGGGCACGAACTCCTGAAAAAGTTAGCTTTACTTTTCGTGGAGGAGTGAGATTATCTAACCAACTTTCTGCTTCAAGAGTGCTGTTAACCGAATTATTGCTTCTAAGCGTTCGCTTTTGCTGTTCCGAAGCGTTTCTTCCGGTACAAAGACTCTCGTTTGGCTGAGTAAAGGCACTGAAATTCCAGTGTCTATAGTGCTCTGATAGAAACACCCATAAAGGCGTGCCATGGCAATTGAGAACAAACCCAACGATTGTGAGAGTTGTTTAGTCAGTAACGGAGGTATACTTAGTAATAAAAAATAGCATTTATTCCGAATATTTTCAACAGCAGTCAAAGTTATGCGTTTTCAATTACTAAAGGAGATACAAGAACAGCATCGTACTCAACTACTTACCTTACTGACGGAGCGACTCTCTAAAGTCATAAACAGACAGATAAAGAAAACAACCGCTATGATGAATTTGACAGCCATTTTTGAACCTCGTGTGCAGTCTGAAAGGAGCAGTTCACATTCTGTTGAGTGGTTGTGGTCATTTCATTTTTTTGACTAAGGTTGCCTTTTACAAGATCTTGGTATCAAAAACCAGCACAGCCCTAGACGACTGGTAATTTTGTCCACGAATAAGTAACTGGGTTTAGCTTAAATTGAAGTTTTGTGTCGCAGCGGTTGTGTACTAGCCGAGAAGAATGCATATCGTTTACCTGGCTGTGGCGCGGACATAAAATACTGAATTTTGGTACAAACCTCTACTATCCGGACCTTCAGTTATACGGAATCTTCGATTATCTGGACAAGTTTCTATGGTCCATTCTTTTTATAAATATCAGTTTGAGATCCGTAACAACTTTCTTCCCCTTAAACAAAGCCACGTGTAAAGAAACTCTCGTTGGAATTGAATTTGTTCCGCTTTTCGGAACCATTGAAAATTTTAGGGATTGTTAAACGCGTTGAACCTGTGTCTTCATTTATAAAAGTGGTCTCTTTTAGCTACATTACTGTAAGCTTGAGCGAATTTCAAATAATACTAACCGAGTGTCATTCCTAACTTCAACAGACCAATTTTCTTACCTTCGACTGTTAGCTTGGAACAATTACTAATCCAACGGTCTGTAGCGTATCCCTGTCCAACGATAAGTGAACTTAACGACCTACTAAGCAGGCAATAAGGGTAAAATTTGCTAAGCAGAATGACCAAAATTAATGATAATAATTAATTGAAATGACCTCAATTAATTCTCGATAGCCATATGGTTTGACAAATTTTAGTAGTTTAAGAGGTCAATGGTCTGACTGACTTGTTCTAAGACTCGTGCAGTGTGCGATGTATCGAAAGAATACACTAAACGACACACGAATAGCTTTGTGGTGACATTTTCGCAATACTGAATGTCAAAACAGCTTTGGAGGTAAAATGTATAAAACTGAACTTTCATCAGACAAATTGCAGAACGTCTTTGTCAATAGAGAAAACTAATATTTATATTCACTGCTGTCATATCAAAACTTGTCTCATTTATTCAAATTGTAAAGTAACATGATAAATTTAAGTTTGTTATTTCAAGCGAGGATTGATGCATGAAAATCAACTTATACTACTAGTAAAAGACTTTACCTAAGTTATCACGATCCTTACAACCATGACCACCCTTAATCTTATTAACAGGAACTTAATGTGGATGAAGCGAAACGTAACTCACCCCTGTTTTATCCTTTTGTTTCGGCAATCGGTTTTTAACGAGTTTTCAAACTGTCCATCAAAAAAGGATAAGTGCTGAAATGATTAAACTTTGAAGGTGTAATTTAAAATTTGGCTTTGTTTCCAATTCAAAGTCATCAAGAATAAAACAATTTCCTTGTCTATCGAAGAGACCTCGATGAGAGAAATTAGAAATTTATGAAATGGGAGATAGGAAAGTCTGTAGCCACATTTACAGAATATCTCCTGCACATAGCGATAACATCTATCTTATACTCTTTGTCAATCCAATGCATAACGAGCAACTAGATCAGTAATCATGGAAAGCTGTTTAGTATTGTTCTATCACAATACCGCAGTTATTATTATGATTCATCTTTTCTCATAAAGGTCCGTCGTTCATGATAAAATGTTGAGTTGCTTTCTTTTGAAGTAGAAAATTTCTTTCGAATAGGATAGGGTCATAAATCTGAGTTTATGATAATTTTTTAAGTAGAAAACCCTTTAAAAGGTGAGGAAATTCGTTTGTTTTCTTGGAACTGTTAATGGAAAAATTTCGCACAAGCCATTCGACCATGAAAATGTAACTATAATAAATTGAAAAAACACGATGACTTGAACGGAAAGAGAAAATTTTAGGTATGTCAAGAATGAAGGGTTCTTTATAATATTTTTCTCCAGAGTGCAAGAAAAATTGAAAAGTATGACGGGGTCCGCTGTAATAAGAACTTGCGTCTCAAACCTTTTGATTTTAGGCCAGGGTGGGAAGTTTCACCAACTGAGCTGGGTCGTATACCAATTCCTTGGGTACATACAACTGGTAGTGTTGAATGAAAGTGTCTTGAGTAGTGTTAGAGAAGGTGAGGAAAGACGTTAAGTCATGAGCGCTGTCATGAGTAGGAGACAGAAGTTAAACATTGGACAGGAGCGTGGGACAACTGAGAAAAAATGAATTACTGATAATGACACGTTACTATTGTAACTACAAAGGGAATTTATTCCACGTGCGAGAACACGGTCAACTTAAACAGGGTAGCAGTTTTTTAATCATCGAATAGTTTTATGAATGACTGAGTACTTTGCGTGTTACTGTAATTTCAAAAGAAGGAAATCTCTTTACCTTTGTCATTTAAGGCTATAAATTGTGGGAATTTTACAGCTTCGTTTTAATTTCTGTCTATCAACTGATTGAGCTCGTTTCAACGAATCTTCATGTCTGAAAGAGATTTACAATGCGTGGTGACGACTTGATATTTCAGGCTGTAAATATCGGCATTCAATTTTTTGGCCACAACAGAATAAAAAGGAGAGAAAACTAAAAAATTACTTTATTTCACTGACCAGGTGACAAATTTGCAGCAACTAATAGCAAAGATAGAACAAAACAATCAATTATGGAACTTTCTTTAAGAACTCATGGTAAGGAAGAGATGTTATCTTAAGAGAAGATAATTCTGATATCAACTTTTTTGTGGCAAATAAATCGTGCAATTATTTTGCAAATTTTCCCTAAATCACAGTCTCATTGTTTATACCTTCCTGACATAGTCGTTATCTTGATTCGTGGAAACTAAAAACCGATCAATTAATCGAGAAGATTATTACACGAGATGAACAGATTGTTAAACCAGAAATATTACACCAGAAACCTCATTTAAATCTCCTTTTTAACGCCACAGTGGAGATTGGATTAAAGTCATATTTTTCAATGCCATAACTGATTACAAAAGCTTTATTGTTTTTTACCCTTATCTTAATAAATACGACTGAGAACGCACCTGTGATAATTTGTGGAATGAGTGTCTAGACACTTAAATTGCGCCTTGCAAGTATGTTTATATGGAGTTTGGGACTTTAATTTAGGCTCAGTTTGTTTACGGTCATGCGACTGGTTCCATGAATATGGCAATATTTTCATTGACAACCTGAGATGAAAAGATGAGTTTAACTTAAGCGCTTAGGAATTTTCGCTTTTTGATTCATCAGTATGTCCAACATTTGGGCGTCTACAGCGGTATATAAAACTCAAGAGTAGAAATGAAAAAGTAAATGATTGGACCTAATATATCATTCAATTTGTTATCTAAATTTTAATCAAACGGTTTACGGAAGGCAATAGATATTAATGACGACCTTTGTTTTAAAAGGCATTCAGAACTGACTGTATGCGATGAGGCTCCGCTGGAGATAAGGCTCCGCTATCGATCAAACGGCCTGGAGTTAAATGAGTTGTTTGGATTAAATTTTACTAAAGAAAGCAACTGATCTTAACTTTTTAATCAAAATTATGCTTCTTCATTTCCTGCTAACAAATTTAAACATTTTTAAATTAAAGCTACTAACGTGTTGTGTTAAACGTCCATTTACACTATGATTAATTTTCATGGATGCCAGGTCAGGTCCAGTGTAAAAGTAATAACTTACGTCCAAAATGAGAGCTGTCTGATATTTGTTCAACTGTCAGTAAATGACTCGTGACAGAAAAATAAATGAAAAAACAAATTATAAACCATTCCATCTAAGTTCGTTTTTTCTAAATCACTTTTCAAAATAGACGATGAACAGGGAAATAAAAGAAAATAAAAAGAGGCTTAGGAGAGCAGAGGAAAGAGTTGTCGAGTGATGATATCTTCTCACTAGTTATTGTAAAATTTATTTTTCTTTTCTAAGTTTTTCTGTATTTTATATGATGCAAGATTTACTTCCTGACTGTAGGGATTGTATTGATTCAATTTGAATCAAACTCAAACGCGATTACCGGCCAATTACCAATGGACTTTATATCAATTACTGCCGTAGAGAATAACAATGTATTTCCGTATTTCCATTTCTGGTTACTCTTTATTTCCATATTCTATACAGTTCTCACAAAAGTGACTTGTTTAAGCTCGATTCATCATCACGATTCTTCCACAAAATGCGGAATAAAATTTTTCACGACATCATGCACACCTGTAAGTAAATGGCCGAAGAAAAGCATTACCTGCAAAAAGAAAAAAGATGTTCTGAGATAAGACTTACACCAAATCGATCGTTTACAAGCATAAGACTGGAGAAGTTCGTCACTTATAAGATTAAAAGCCTCATAGATTGGTAACCAACAAGGGCAATGTATCTCGCAAGTTTAGCTCGAACAGAGCATTTTTGTTCCTTCGTAATTCTAGACATATGTAAGGTTCTGTTACAGATAACCTAGGTTATCATCGATTTCAACGGTAGGCTACTGTTGTCTTTATTCCAGTTGTACCCTCTCAAAATTCCACCCACCCTCCTCGTTAAAAAAGAAATCCTGTGATAAGTAAAAAGAAAAGGAAAACAACAAACGAAACGTCTCCATTATGTCTTTTATCGCAGACATGAAAAGAAGGAATCTTATAGATATATATTTTGTCAGTACCTGTTGTTATCGGTCTTGATCCGTATTGGCATCGAAACCAAATGGAAACGGAAGTGAGGATTCTTCTGTACCTTCCTCTATTGTAAAGATGGGTGGTGGTGTAGTAACCGCTGTTGCCCATGTTTCTGTAAGGTTTGTTCGAGAGGAAAAATAAACAAATGCACTTGCGCAGGGGTTGAGGTGGTTGCTTCTTTGTTTAACTATGGATGGACTACTTTTTATTCTTCTTGCAGATCTAGAGAACACTTACATTCACGTTCCCACAATCTCTTTTGAAAGAAGACTTAATGATTAGAAATTTCAATTTTGTTTTCGGTCGCCAAGCCACACGGGTCACTAAACATTCGGCTTGAACAATGGCTATCCTGATCCACTTCGGTCCTCTCCTACAGAAGTTCTGGGGATGGGGGGGGGGAACGAAGAAAGGCAAAGATTAACTGGCTCTGAGTTCGCCATTTAGTTGTGATCTTAACTCAAACGAAGCAATGAAATTGTTTTACATCATGGAGTATCATGTTAACCCAGCCAGGCTGAAAACTTTTCAAAAGTAATATTTTATGGGCTACCACAATTCTGGCCACAATAACGTGTTAGATTGACTAGCAAGTTTTTTTTGTGTGTGTGAGGGGCCCACCAGTGATATCCCAAGCTCAAGACCTGTACCGAACGTAAACTAGACCCTTGTTGACGCAATGAAGAAAGAATCGCCTTCACGTTCGTTTCGTATCATGAGCCTGGACTTCCAGTGGATCTGTTGTTTTGCCGATACTTACTGCACTGAGGACAGCAGTGATCCGGCTTCATTTCAGTCTCTATGCATCCTTCTGGTTTGAAGCATAACAAAAGATTTTCTTTACAAAACTCTGTACCGTCTGCGCTGCATTCGCATAAAGAACAGATTCCTTCCTTCTCACCCTCCGGCAAACGCACTAACCTCTCCCATTTTTCGCCAACTTTTCTGTCATCGGAACAACCTGTAAATCAAAAACGTCAATGATGGTCAATGATCATGGATCGCCATGGGTTTATTCTTTAGATAAAGTAGATCAAGAATAAATGTAAAATGGGAATCTGCAGTCCCTGCAGAAAACAATTAATCGGAGGACGAAATACAAAACAGGAATGAGAACAAGGAATTTGGAGATTTGAAAGTTATTTTCTCTTTGTAACTGAAGAATCGAGGGGGAAAGAATTTGGTGCATAACGGGAAAGTAAAAAACCATCTGGGGTATTTGTTATTAAGAGTTTGAAGGTCTAAAAGAAAATAAAAGTGGATAAGGCGGACATTTTTACTGATTGACAATCTATAAGTAAGGAACTCTAACAGAAATATTGTTAAATCAATGCAAAGAGCAAATTCTTTATGAGGTTTTCACAGTCTAAACTTACTTCATGTGAAATAAAGGAACGTGAGAAGCTGTGAAAAGCATGTGAAAATATTGTCCCTCTCATGTAATGTTGTTTTTGTTGTTTTTTTTTTCCTTTTTAGGCCTTGATGTAATAAACTTGGACGTTCTCTTTACGCTTAAGAGTTTCGATAGCTGTCACGGCTGGACTAACCACAAATTTTGAATTTAGGCCCTACCACGGAGCACCTGAGTTAGAACTCAAAATGAAAGAAACACAGGTGATGTGGAGATCGAAGATAAATGGGTAAATTAAAAGTCTCCTATAACATGAGTACGTGCTGAAGAAAAGAATTCAGAAACTAATAACAAGAACAGAAAGACAAACTGTTCACAGGTTAATAAATGTTAGGCACATTAGAGACATATGTCGATAGAAAGAGAAAAATAATACAGGGCTCGCCTTTTTGTTTGCATTCAGGGCAGCAACTATCTGGACGCCATACATAGTCTTCCATCTTACACTGATTAGTTACGTGACAACTGTATAACTTTGTGCATTTTTTTAATTTCCCTCATGTGGGAATTATGTTCCATTTCAAGAGACTTATAATGAGTCATTGCGGTTCTAGGTAAGAGGCAGTATCTGTAAGATCTCCAGTATCTGTAAGATACCCAGTTTTAGTCATACTTGGCAACTTTCCTAAAAGGTGTTTCTTGGTCAGGTTATTTTCAAGGTGCATCTCGTTTCGAATCATTTAGCAATGGATACTAGCGATAATCCAGCATTGACGAGTTTTGCAGATGTCATCCGTTCACTGTTTACGCAACAAAAGACTGACGGTCACCGTGTGGTCATTTCCTAAGCACTGCGTTTTGGTCTTGCAGCTTACCGCGCTTGCCTTTGTAGTAGAATGGTTGAAACATTGACATGAAATTCATGAACTGTTTTCAATATAACGATTTTTCTTCGTGTACCTCGTTCTTCCATCACCACAGACTTGTTATGGGTCTCAATATCAAAACTGTCCTGAAAAAAAACCAAATAAGTGAACATTAATTTGGTCCATCTCTTCCCTTGCCTTTATTCATGACAACCTGAGTTATCGATTTAGGTGCAAGCGTACAGCTATACGGAAACGATAAAGTCAATTGTTGAAGGGAACTAATTACCGCAACAATACTTATTCTATTCAGCCCGGCAAGTTCCTCCCCAAGAGACAATAATGTTATCTATGTAAACAGCCCAAGCCAAACTATCTAAAGTAAGAGAACGATTCCGTATTTTGCATGAATCACTTACCTCTTTAACCGAACGACCCTCGATAGAAATTAAAATACAAACGAAGATGATAAGCACCACGTTGAATTTGACGACCATCTTCCTACTTCTTGTGCGCTCTGAAAAATTTAATTGACAGTCTATCAATCTGGTTGACTTCGTTCAGATTAAAAAGTGTCTATTATTATTATATTCTTTATTTATGGGCAGTTTCTCTTTGTTTTACTTTGCCATCATATTCATACCTCTGAGGAATTCCTTCTACATTTAAATGCACACTTAGTATTTTATCTTGACTTGATCTATAATGGCACTAAGTAACTTCGAAACGTCGTCGTTTTAAAGAAATTTTCGGCATTTTAAACCTAGACGGTTTTAAGTTTTCCGCTTTTCTCAACGTTTTTTTAATTCAGTTCAATACCATTCGTAGTTGGATGGTATCATTCAATAACAAGTTGAAAGACCCCTCTTTGATACGTCCTTTCACCCCCCCCCCCCCCCTCCTCCCTGAACACAAACTCTGAAACAATATTTTCTCAGTGATTCGTTTGGGCTCAATTTAAATATGCAAGTATTTGAAAGCGTTCCGTTTTTGTTGATTTTCAACCGAAGACATACATTCTGTATATTGTATTCAATACATCGATGTTCTGCCCCAAGGGAATTTTCGCGAAATAAAAGCCTACCCAGAAGTCAAGGAATTAATAAGCCCTACCCCACCCCTGAACTTACAGAAGTGTATTAAATATCAATTATGGAGACTCTATAGTACATTCGATGTCTGAATTCAAATGTTTAGCTATAACGACTTTTTAAAAGGACGAAAAGGCAAAATAAATTTATTCTTCCAGCATAACTTGTAAATGGTTTGTTTCAATTGCACCTTGCACTTAACAAGAGATTTTCCACAATAGTTTCTCCTAGATTCAACATGTGGCATGCACATTTTGTGCTGTTACAGCATTATAGGCTAAAATTGCTGTCAGTTAATATTGATTACATGTTTGAAGACTCAAACAGTGGCGTTTCTTCACTTCTGCATGATTGCTATATTTTTTATGGTATTTTGAACGACCCTTCCTAAATCATATTGACTTATGTTGTTCTCAAATTTTGGAGATTTGTAGCGTCTTACCTTATCCTTATAAGACGTTACTGACAATAACAAGGTTTTACAGCAAAATGCAATGGTGAAATATGAGGAAAGTAATAATGAACCTCCTGAGCAGCCCTGTTTTAAACTTAGGTTGACTTCAAAGGATGCTGATAAATGCGAGTCAGTGTCGTTTTAACAGACGTTTTTCTGAACTTCACCTGATATGGTGTAGCCGGAGAAAAACTAATCCAGTGGTGTTCGCGTTTCCTGTTAAGCGTACTGAGAGGCAGACTGAATTGGTTACAAAGTTTAAAATAAAAATTCAACTCATGAAATTAAAACTTCAATAACTGAAATAAAATACCCAAGTATAAAGTTCTCATTAACCATATATCTGATAAATTACAACTCTTTGGAACGTCAAGAACTTCGCTTAATTCAAGATATTGAAAACGGTATGATGCTAGCGTAATGTATTGTAAGTATTCGAAAGACGCCAATTTTATTGCTTTGTAAACAAACGTCAAAAAGAGGTCAGGGGCCTAGATCAATAGTTAACTTTACAAAACACATTAAATTTGTTTTGTCAGCGGGAAAAAATGCGATTTTATTTTGTATAATTAATTATCAGAATTTAACCTAATTTCGTTAATTTCTTGATTAAATTTAGGTTTCCGCCGAGTAATTATGACCCATACAGTCATGATCACTGTTTATGCATTAAAAAAAACTAAATGGTGTCAATTGCTCTCAAAGCAATGACTTCGAATACTGGGACATCTGTCCAACTATATCTGACGCCAGCATCCCTTTGTTTCTTCGGTCATCTTAGCGATTTCCGAAGCGGAGTATTTAACGTCTCTTGAAACAAAAGTACTGCCTGAAATGGTCAAACACCGAAGGTTTGAAAAAAATGGCTATTTTAATTTACGTTCGATTAAGCAGTGAAGAATAATGCCAATTTTTCCCGTCCAAGAAACTAGGCGAAGAACGAAATTTCAAGCATTTCAGTATAGATGAACTGATATGATTAGTCTGTAGCCACATAATATATGCCTAAAGATTAAGATGGTCGCCACATTAAACTCTCTCTCCATCTTAAAGTTAAAATTATTTACGATCCAACCAGCTAATGGTGGTTGACGACGGTTGTTAAGCCACATCAGTTTAAAATGACAGTTAAATATTAAGGCTGGGCTCCAACTATATAAACATATGAGTGTCGCAACAAAACATAGTCTACAGGTTCCACAAGCGTCGATACGGTTAACGATGGCTTACAAGATTGAAAAAATGTATACCACCAGAAAGCCTCCAAATTTTCTGACCGCAAAAGGATAAAAACTATAGTGTAAGGTGTTTGACCTTTATGCAAGCAATAGCACAACCAAAGAATCCTGACGATTTTTGATTAGCATCGCAAGTCTAAATCGTAACGTGTATTCTCTATGGACTAATACATGATATTAAGGCTTGTTCAATCATATGAAATTTCGGCGTTAAAATACGACAGAAATACTAAAATATCTGTGCTAAACTCGACCTACCCAAGACTTGATAGTGAACCATCTGTTCTCCACGTAAATGGATCTAATTCATGTTTCCCAAAAGTAGTCATCTCAGAAAAAATTAACGATTTTTAACATATAAATGCAGCTCAATATTTCAAAAGAAATTGAGTGAGCAATTTTGAAGACCGTGAAAATTAGGCTTTTGTTATTTAAGAGAACAAACTTTCTTCTTTCTCAAAGTCATAGGCGTCCATAGAGATCTCTTTCTTCGATTAATTGTTGGCAAATTTAACACATCTGAATTGTTAATTAAAAAGTGACGACCAAAGTGTTCACGACTTGTTCTATTTGGGTATTTTGTTGATCAAAATACATTTCCATCCTTCGAAGCAAGAAGAGGAACTGATTTTTTAGAAAAATACAAATATATATATTCGTATTAATTATATTTTTTGGCTTTTCCACAGCATTGATTCCGTGCAAGAACACGAAAACAAAACAGACAACACAATGAAATTCTTTCATCATAGTAGAGGTAACTAGGAGATCTGAACAATAGAGCATATAATTCTGATATCAAATTGATGGAAGGAAGAAAACCGGCAAAAATTATAGCAGTGAATGATTGAATATCACGAAAGCTTTTAAATATCTGCACATGATACCTTAAGACTGAAAAATGATACCATGATCATTTGAGAGATGACTGCAGAGTTACCAGTCAACTCAAATGCACCTCGTGGATATATTTCATTGTGCGTGAGGCTGGACCCATTCTTTGATTATATGGCCACGTGTTTCCACCATGTCGTGTTCTGATTGGTCACAGCAGTGGAGATAGTCGTCAATAATGTTCGCTCAGGATGTCCCGCTTTGTTAAAGCATCAAGCATAAAATGTAGTCTGACAAATTTCGACTGTGCGTAAATGAGGAGTAGAAATGAAATGACCGCCGGACCATTCTTTGATTATATGGCCACGTGTTTCCACCATGGCGCGTTCTGATTGGTCACAGCAGTGGAAATAGTTGTCAATAATGTTCGCTCAGGATGTCCCGCTTTGTTAAAGCATCACAGCATAAATATAGTCTGCCATTTTCCGACTGTGCGTAAATGAGGAGAAGAAATGAAATGACCGCCGGACCAGAACAATATATCTTGATCTGCAAAGTTTTTCATTGAATCATAGAAACTCTCAAAAAGCAATAGCAGACAAAAGAAGATAGATAGGGTATCAAAACATTTGCTTAAATTTTATGGTTGACTCGTTCCCAGCGAAACATTAAAGAAACTGCCAAAAATCATCCTGATGCAGTTTAACCACTAAAGTAACTGATACTGGATGTAATTTAAATTAAAATGACTGCAGCAAAGAAGAAGATGCGTTTTCAATTTCTTTTCAAGTTTTATTTCCAGGTTTAATCGAGTCTCGCGAACACATCCATTCAACGATCTCTTATTTCTTAGAACAAGTCATTAGAATCGTCATGCTCACTCTTCCTTTGAAAAACTAGAAGCTCTCAGAGATCTCAACACTCGAAGCAAATTACATCTGCGAAAAAAAAAACATTTGTCGAGCCTGGTCTTAAGTTTCTTTGTCTTCATTGGAGTCAAACGGGAAATGTGGAAACGGCGGTGGTTCTGTAGGTTCCGTCAGTATAATGGTAAAGCTTGGTGCATCAGTCGTAGTTGATTTGGCCCAAGTTTCTGAAAGTTTGATAGAAAAAGAGCAATGAACTGTCATCTTAGGACACTGGCTACATCAATTCCCCAAGTACTTACGAAAATGAGGACAACAACTATATTTGCCGAGAACAATGTGTACGGAAACATTAACAACTCTACGAAAGAAGTAAAATCGTTTTTCTCATGATGCAGTCACTTTCGACGAGGATCGCGACTTTCATCTACGAACTGCTATCTTCTTCACATTCACTAGTTCCGCGTCGATGATTAACTTCATCTGCATTAAAAACTTACTCTCCCTCTATTTGGGACGTTATCAAGGACCTATAACCCAGAGAGCAGTTTCTCTCTAAGACCAACACATACCCAACTTTTGCCACCTCGAGGACTCATTGGAACTCTGCATATGGGACTTCTTGTTGCTAGGTTATTAATTGTTCACATTTTAATGGCGGTTTTCAACGCAGTACAGCAGCTTAAAAATTCCACATAACCACAACCTGAAAACCGGTCATTTGACATTAAATTGAATTTTTTTCAAGGTTGTTTAAATGGACCATTTTCTCGCCTCAATCAACTCCCCTAGCTTACGAAAAGGATGCCTTTTCTGCGCTGCTGTAAACTTCCTGTGCTCTAGCTTGAACATGTAGTGATTATTCAGATGTTTTTGCTGTGAGTCATCTTTCTTCCTCTTTTTCTCTTATTCCATGCATTTATTTCATTATCATCTCTTTGGTAATACTTACTGCACTGTGGACAGCAGAAGTCCGGTTTTATCTCAGTCTCCAGACACCCTGGTAAGTCAAAGCAAATGAAACGACTGTCTCGGCAGAACTCTTCGCCGTCAGCTAAACATTCACAAAGAGAGCAAATGCCTTTATTTTGCCCCGTCATGCTTTTTATCCTCTCCCATTTTTCCCCGACCTTTCTGTCGTCAGTGCAACCTGTAAATCAATAACTTCAATATTTAAAGCTTAAAAAGCAATTGGTCAGTTTTGAACGCATTAGAAGAGAGATTCCATTGTTACATACACACCTGGTACACGTGTAATAGACAGAGTAAACTGAATTCTTAATTTTTTTTCCGTTCTGAGAGTTAATGAAAGAAAAATTCAAAAACGTGCAAGTGCAGAAACAGAAGACAGAAAAAATAGCAAGAAAAACGAGCATCCCTGCACAGACTCTGTACACACACTAAAACTCAAGGCACACAAGCGAAACGAGGATTGAGAAAGCTATGAACAGTAGGTAACTTACTTTTTCGTTTGCACTCAGGACAGCATTTACCAGGAAGCCATTCATAATCCTCAACCTTACACTTCAGAAAGCCCACTTCACAATAGTACAATTTGGTGCATTTGCGGAATTTTCCTTTCTTGGTACATGTGCATCGATCGCATCTTGCATAATCCGGACCCAAATTTATGTCAACTTTTGCGCCCGGTTTATATTCCTTGTTTCTGTATGTACATCTTTTGGGTTCTGAAACGTTATACAAAACAACAGTGTTAGAATGAGCGACAAAATATTGCTGAAGTCGATGAGGAAGACATGTTGGGGATGTCCAGAGTCAACTTTCCAACCACCAATATCCAACTTGAGCCGCAGTCTCTTAAGCTTGCATCGGATTCGTCAGCCACAGACGTAAGCAATGGACCCTTGAGATGTACTCGGTCATCATCAATGACAAAGGAAGAACGTTAACGACCACTGTCATTCGCTCAAAATGTTCCTGAAGTGCGAAATCTCAATGTTTCACCTTACCTTTACTCCAATCCCACAAATTTGTACTTTTACCTATCTGTATTAGGTTACTATCACTAAAATTACGATAGAATTGTAGTTCGGCTACGCTGGACATATTTTCGTCCATAGTAACACATGACCATGTTGCCATTTCCTGAGCTTGTTAAGTGGAATAACTTATGGACAAGAGACTTAGAGGTGAACTTTACAAGTTCTTAAGATGTTTTATACTTGCCACGTGCATCTCGTGCTTGTACCATGGAGGACTCATCCTGATTCTCTGGATCTGAATTATCCTGAAAATAAGAAAACAAATCACAGCGATAAAGTGAGAGAGGGAGCTAGTTTGTTACCAGGAAAATATCCTTCTCTGACCATCGCGTAAGCCGAGATTGTATTGTCTTGGTGAATAGAAAGGAGCACTTAAATGATATGATTTAATACAGTCATTGCTTAATGAGCAGCGAAAGTGAATACGTTCAGGACAAAACGCTTATTTGATGTCGGTTAACACGTCATGAAAGATCATCACAGTTTTACTGACATTACCTGAATGGAGTCACGTTCCATATCGCGGCCTATTATTGGGCTAATGGAAACAGCGTATGCCTCAAAGAGTAAAAGACACACCAAAAAAAGCATCTGTAGAAAAGAAAAAGTATAAAATTCTTTATGGGTTGTTTATTTAAACAATTCTCGGTTTCAGCTGAACCTTTTATCTGAACATTTATTTGTTAAGAGTGTTAAGAGTGGACGAACATTTATTAAATAAAACTTCTCGTAGAGAAAGCCCAAGGCCCACTGATTTTGTAAAACCGTGGTTTAGGTTGTAGAGCTCGTGTTATAACCGGCCCCATGAGTCCACATCATTTAACAAATAGAGAAGCCTTGACTGTGCTCTGTTCTGTTACAAAGCACGCAGGAAGCGGCTAGAGCACGAAAGAAGTGTAGGGAGAAACACTCGACTACGTCCCCCACTTCTTGAGTTTCTCCCCACTTCTATGTTCTTCTGTTGCTACTTACCGGCTCGCTTGTTCCGAAACTTCACTTTCAATTATCGGAAAAAAGCTAAAAAGAAGTCCCGGAAAAGGTCGAACATAGCACAATTTGGCAGATGGCGTGACAGCTTTAGCTCAGCTCTAAGCTCTATACTCTCATAGAGCATGCTCTTTCAACCAATGACAGCGCGCGTTATATCCGAACTTTATTATAAAAGGGATTAAGATAACACGAGATAAAGAATTCACCGGCCGGTGGAGATTTCATTCTCATCGCCTTTAAATTAAGTTTATAAAGGAAATAATCTGGCCTCAAGGGAAATACGACGAGAAATTTCTTAAACTTTTAAGTGATTAACGCTTAAACTGTATTATACAGCAGTAAAAATATTTACTTGAACATTTACAAACTGGTAACACTATCGTGCAGACGTAGCAGTCTCTGCTAAATGCAAATGATATGTGAAACCAAACAAGTATCAAGCATTATTTTACTCTAACAAAAAAAGGCCTTCCTGATAGGTCAATGACGAATTCATAAATAGATTACGGGATTTCTGTTTTGTACTCGCTTGTGGCCTAAAGCTTTTAAAGATCAATAAACAATGCTAACTTCAAGAATGTTCCTAACATTCAACTTGGTTTGAGTATTATGTTGTAATGACTGTATCGAAAGACCCTTGGTAGGATTGTACTGTATAAATGGCATTAGCACTTTTCAACTGCAAGTCTTGCGTACGTGATCCTTGACATTTGAAGAATCTCTGGAGGTAACAAAAGGTGCTAAGTTCTTCGTTAATCAGACAGTAGCATTCATGATTTCCATTTATTTCAGCAACGGGCGGCTTACTTCATTGTCTGTGAAAATCTAGAAGCCACAAACTTCGCGCAGGCAAAACATACCAAAGACAACACTTGTTATTTAATGTCTGAGTGCACCCTTCCAAGAAACTAATTAGGATTTTGGCATTATGCCCCTTGCATCGAAAACTCTGGGATACCTTCTTCACTTTTCTTGATAGATTTGATAACAAAATTTAGAAATTTTGCCACACAGTTTCGTTTTAGCGAAGAACAGTTTACTTTAACAACTAGTAAATTGATCCTCTCACTGGATTGTTTTGTTATGCGAGAAACAATCCCAGACACATTCTTAGTACACCAACTAAAATCCCTGCCCCTCTCGATGTTGGTCTGCAAGATGGTATGGACGCATCAGCACTGAAAAACATCGTAGGGAAGAGGAGAGGGGCGATTGAACATCATAAACGTTGTTTTAAGAAGTGTCCCAACTAATATTACCTGAGAGTGAAGTTTTGCCAAAGAAACCTAAATTAATACATGTTTGAGTGTGAGGTGAACAAAAAACCCTTACATCAGTTGAAAGGGGGATAGCTTTTTTAAAAGGACATCCTGAGATGATTCTTACAGTAAGAGTTTTGGTTATATCTTCAAGAGGAACTGAACCTACCTTGAATGGTGTACTTGTGGGAACAGATCCTACGCACGGTAACTAAGTGATGTAAAAGCTTCGCAGATTGTCTTTTTATAACAATAGTCTTAGTCTACCTTTAGATAAATATGCAAACTTAAATTGATTTCAAGCTTGGCTGATTATAATGATTAGAAGCTTTTGTTTAGCGCCGTGGTACAGTTTAGATATGTCTTCGTTGTTTAAATTATAATGTTTAACTTTCATTCCATTTCATGGGCATTAGTTCTGATGCTATTAAATTTAATAGAATAAAAGAAGGACGCGCTTTTTTTTTTTTCTATCTACGCTGTGCAAACAGTTTACGATAAATTGTGATAGTGTTAATGTCACCTGCTCTTCCTTTGACTAGGAAAGCTAACTGTTCAGCTCTAAAGAATTCACTGAACCAAATTTTTTTTATTCTGGTATTTTACTCTTCATACCTTTGTTAGCCTCAAAGGAAATTATATGGCGGTTGGGTCAAAGTTTGTGTTGTTTTTCTCCAGCTCTCTTTTTTTCGATGGGAGATCCCAAGTAGATAACAACCAGAGTAAAATATAACTAATTTGCAAAATTGAATTGGCTTGTATCAGGAGTAATAAATTATCATTGAAATTAAATTCATGCATTGTTTCTTGGGCATTTAAGTACCAGCGGTATCTCGGCCATACAATGACAACATGAATTAGTCATCGATATTATTCATTTGTGAGTAATTAATCCCCCGAGGTAAACAATCACCCATAATTTCCCCTGATATAATTGCCAAATTAGAGTCATCTCTCACTTTCTTGGCCACAGGATGAAATTCAGTTAACACGTGCGCACTAATTTATATCACCTGCTTGAAAGGGAAAGTCTGTGCGAATAAAGGCCACTCTACAGAGGCGATTAAAACCCTAAACAAACTGTTCATAATTTCACCGCCTCCACATCAAGGTTTCTTGTTAAATCGGCTCTAGACTCGCAGACTTCAAGCCACGTTGCCACATTTAAAACAAAGAGGTTTTTCTTTCTCTTTGTATGTTGCTAAAAGGCGCCGCGGTGGTTATCACAAGAGAGAATCTTGACAAATTTGCAATAATGATTTAGCCTGAATAATCAGCGCGAGAAGTCTGTTTGAGAAAATAGCAACTATGAACAGACGATCAATATTTCGACGATTTCAAGGCTCGCTTACATCTAACTGTAATAACGTTGTCAAAGAACACTGATGCAAAAAGCATGTGGAGCTCATCAGAACAAATGACACAGTCAATGAAATAAACCAATTCCTTGCGTTTTAACGTTTATAATTTTTCCTGGTTGTAATTTCTATAAAAGAACATGACATTTGCAGAATACAACAGACGAGAAGTCATCATCAGACAGTAATTTCACTGGATCATCTACAGCTGAAAATAAGTTACAGAAAAGTTAGTTAAGTTCTGTGCAGCTGGTTTTTAAAGATCGATGAATTGAACAAAGATTGACGCTTATCAATTCAGAAGGAATATATGTTTTGAGTTTTTCTTTTTTTTTTTTTTTTGACGTAGTGCAGCGCTGAAGAGAGTCACGGAAAAACAAAACCAGATCTTATTGGAAAAAGAGTTGCAGTCCGGAAAAATTAAAAATGAAATACTGAAAGAGGTCGAAAGGAAGGAACTTAAATGCTCAATAGAAGCTGAAAGAAGACGATCAACGGGAAAAAAACTAGACAAAAACAACGAATACGAACTAAGCAACGGTTTATGAGTTTACCATCTTTACCTCTTGATTTCACCTCAGAAAGGAAATGCAAATGGGAAGGATGGTTCTGTTCTATCCTCCGTTGGTTCGATTGTAAACACCGGCGGAGGAGTTTGTGGTTCTGATTAATAAAAGAAAGAAATATTTTGATCAACGAAAAACAAAACAGCTTAATGCGTCATTGTTCATTTTACCAACAAATGAAAATGATCAGTGGTGATATACGCTTTACGGATTCTGGAAAAATACAACCTGGAGAACTGGACATCAAAGATGAAAGCACATTCACTAACCGTGTTGTTTGACTCTTTAATTTGGAGATCATCTGGTATTGGATCAACTGATAATTCCCTAATTGATATTTTTGGTTATTCTCATCACTTGTCCACTGGGTATTATACCGATATTGTGAGGAGAAATTCTGTCTCGGTCACTCGTGGGAATTAAAGGGTTAAAAAATTCAATTCCACAAAATTCAACGGCTAAAACTTTTTCGAAACCGCGACAGATTTTCGATCTGTTTTATACACGATTTTTTCTTCTTTAACCTTTGTTGTCCCTGGTCACAATTTTCTTTCTCTTTATTTAACAGTTTTATGGCAGATATCGTCATTGCGACACTCATAATTCCAATTCAATTTTTAAACCCTGGCAAAAGGAAAAAGCGACCATCGTTATCACGTGCAGTCTTAAGATGAAAAAGTGAAAAAAAAGTTGTAAATATCGCAATATAGACAAAGGACGAACGTTGACGACTACTGTCATCCGCTCAAAATGTTCCTAAAGCGCGAATTCGTAAATTCGTACTTTTACCTATCTGTATTAGGTTGCCATCGCTAAAATTACGAGAGAATAGTAGTTAGGCTGCGCTGGACATATTTTTCGTCCATAATAACACATAATCATGTTGCCGTTTCCTGAGCTTTACGATTCAGTGTGTTTTTTAAGTAGGATAATTTATGGACAAGAGACTTAAAGGTGAACTTTACAAGTTCTTAGGACGTTTTATTCTTGCCTCGTGCATATCGTGCTTGTACCATGGAGGACTCATGGTTCTCTGGATCTGAATTATCCTGAAAATAAGAAAACAAATCACCGCTTTAAAGTGAGGAAGGGAGCCAGTTTGTCACCAGGAAAATATCCCACTCTGACGTAAGCCGAGACTGTATTGTCTTGGAGAATAGAAAGGATATGATTTAATACAGTCACTGTTTGATGAGCAGCGAAAGGCGAATACGTTCAGGACACAACGCTTATTCGACGTCGGTTTTCACGTTATGAGAGATCATCACAGCTGTATATTACCCGAATGGAGTCACGTTCCATATTGCGGTTTATCATCGGACTGATGGACACAGCGCATGCCTCAAAGAGTAAAAGACACACCAAAAAAAGCATCTGTGGAAAAGAAAAAGTGTAAAAATCTTCATGGGCTGTTTATTTAAACAAAGTTTAGCCACTGTTTAACGAAACTGTGTCGGTCTCTCACGGTCTTATCTGTATATTTATTTTTGTGAAGAGTGTTAAGAGTGGACGGACATCTATTGCGTTCGACGAAGGAGAACGCGTACTAATCGTGTCGTTTTTACGGAAATTACTCTCGAGGGTTTTATGGACCAGTCCCAAGGGGATCGATCGGGATACCATACGATTTCAGGTATTGGGCACCATTTTGGACCGGCTGGCTTGTTATGTGGCACAAATAGCCTCGATCTCATGTGCAAATGTTTTCTTGACCGCCTTGAGCTGAAAACACACAGATCAGCACAATCAGTACGATTAAAAAAAACCTTTTGCTAGAGATCGAATGCACTTTACTAATATTTGATTATTACTAGTTTAATTAAATTCACCTTCTCATAGAGAAAGCCCAAGGCCCACTGATTGCGTAAAACCGTGGTTTAGGTTGTAGACTTCGTGTTATAACCGGCACCATGAGTCCATATCATAAGTGGTTAAGATAGAACGTGATAAAGAATTCACCGGCCGGTGGAGATTTAATCCTTATCGCCTTTAAGTTTATAAAGGAAGTAATCTGGCCTCAAGGGAAATCATACGACGAGAAATTTCTTAAACTTTTAAGTGATTAACGCTTAACCTATATTGTACAGCAGTAAAAACTATTTTTCAATCTCGTTGTCATTATTCTGGATATATACTTGATATATTGAATATTTACCGGAACATTTACAAACTGGTAACACTATCGTGCAGACGTAGCAGTCGTTACTAGGTGCAAATGATATGTGAAACCAAACAAGTATCAAGCATTTTTTTACTCTACAAAAAATGTCTTTCCTGATTGGTCAATGGCGAATTCATCAATAAATTACGGGATTTCTGTTTTGTATTCGCTTGTGGGCTAAAGCTTTTTAAGCTAGATAAACAATGCTAAATTCAAGGAACATTCAACTTGGTTTGAGTATTATGTTGTACTGACTGTATCGAAAGAACCTTGATAGGATTGCACTGTATTAATTGCATCAGGACTTCTTAACTGCAAGTCTTGCTTACGTGATCCTTGACATTTGAAGAATCTCTGGAGTTAACAAAAGATGCTAAGTTCTTCGTTTATCAGAAAATGGCATTTATGATTTCCATTTGTTTTCAGCTACGGTTTGCTTACTTCATTGTCTATGAAAATCAAGAAGCCACAAACTTCGCACAGGCAAAACATGCTAAAGACAACACTTGTTGTGTAATGTCTAAGTGCACCCTTCCAAGAAACTAATTAAGATTTTGGCTTTGTGCTCCTTGTATAAAAAACTCTGGGATACCTTCTTTGCTTTTTTGATAGATTTGATGACAAAATTTAGAAATTTTGCCACTACAGTTTCATTTTAGCGAAAAAACAGTTTACTTTAACAACTAGTAAATTGATCCGCTTGTTGGATTATTGTATCATGCGAGATATACTCCCAGACACATTTCTTGGTACGCTTACTGAAATCCCTGCCCCTCTCAATGTTGGTCTACAAGATGGTATGGACGCATCAGTACTTTAAAACATTGTAAGGAAGAGGAGAGGGGCGATAGAACATCATAAACGTTGTTTTTGGGAAGTGTCGCAACCAATATTATCTCAGAGTGAAGTTTCGCAAAATACCTTGAGGAAGGAACCTCTTTGAGTGTGAGGCGGACAGAAAACCCTTGCTCAGTTAAAAGGGATATCTTTTTTGAAAGGACATTCTAAGATGAATCTTACAGTAGGAGTTTTGGTTATACCTTCTAGAGGAACTGAACCTACCTTGAACGGTGTACTTGTGGAAACAGATCCTACGCACTATAACAACGAAGTGAAGGCTCTGCAGATTGTCTAAATCTACGTTTAGATAAATATGCAAACTTAAATTGATCTCCAGCTGGGCAGATTATAATGATTAGAAGCTTTTGTTTAGCGCCGTGGTACAGTTTAGATATGTTTTCATTGTTTAATTTATGTTCGGCTTTCATTCCATTTCATGGGGCACTAGTTTTGATGTTTTGAATCTAATAAAATAAACAAGAACGCGCTTTTTTTTTCTATCTACGCTGTGCAAACAGGTAACGATAGATTGTGACAGCGCTGATGTCACCTGCTCTACGTTTGGTCAAGAAAGCTAACTGTTCAGTTTTAAAGAATTCATTGAACGAGCCTAAAACCAAATTTTTTCTAGTTTTACAATTGCTAACCTCAAAGGAAATTATATGGCGGTGTGGTCAAAGTTTGTGTTGATTTTCAGTTCTTTGTTTGTCGGTAGGAGATCCCACGTAGATAATAACCAGAGTGAAATATAACAAATTTGCAAAATTGAATCGACTTGTATCAGAGGTGATAAATCATCATTGAAATTAAATCCATAAGAAATGAAAATCATTCATGCATTGTTTCTTGGGCATTTAAGTACCAGCGGTATCTCGGCCATAAAATTAATTATTGATATTATTCATTCGTGAGTAATTAATCCCTCGAGGTAAACAATCACCCATAATTTCCCCAGATATAATTGCAAATCAGAGTCATCTTTCACTTTCTTGGCCACAGAATTGAATTTTAGTTAACACGCGCGCACTAATTTATATCGCCTCCCAGATAGAGGAACTCTGTGCGGATAAAGGCCACTTTACAGAGGCGATTAAAACCCTCAACAAACTTTTCACAATTTCACCGCCTCCACATCAAGGTTTCTTGTTAAATCGGCTTTAGACTTGCAGATTTCAAGCCACGTCGCTCTATTTAAAACGAGTGGCTTTTTTTCTTTTTCTCTTTGTATGTTCGTAAAAGGCGCCGCATGGCCATCACAAGAGAGAATCTTGACAAATTTGCAATAATGATTTAGCCTGAATAATTAGCGCGAGAAGTCTGTTTTAGAAAATAGCAACTATGAACAGACGATTAATATTTCTACGATTTCAAGGCTCGCTTACATCTAATTGCAATAACGCTATCAAAGAACACTGATGCAAAAAGCATGTGGAGCTCACCAGATAAAATAACAGTTAATAAATTAAACCAATTCCTTGCTTTTTAACATTTTTAATATTTCTGGTTGTAATTTCTATAAAACAACATGACATTTGCAGAATACAACAGTTAACGAAGGATGAGAAGTCACCATAAGACTGTAAATTTCATAGATTATCTGCAACTGAAAATAAGTTACAGAAAAGTTAGTTAAGTTCTGTGCTGCTGGTTTTCAAAGACCAATGAATTGAACAGAGATTGACGCTTATCGATTCAGAAGGAATATATGCTTTTTTTTTTCAAAGTGCAGCACTAAAGAGAGTCACGGAAGATTAAAACAAAACGAGATCTTATTGGAAAAAATTGTAGTCTGACAAAAATTGAAAGTGAAATACTGATAGAGGTCGAAAAGAAAGAACTGAAATGCTCACTGGAAGCTGAAAGAAGACGATCAACAGGAAAAAAACTAGATAAAAACAACGACGTATTCCTGATTACGAACTAAGCAACGGTTTACCATCTTTACTTCTTGATTTCACTTCAGAAAGGAAATGGGAAGGGTGGTTCTGGTCTATCCTCCGTTGGTTTGATTGTAAACACTGGCGGAGGAGTTGTTTGTGGTTCTGATTAAGAAAAGAAAGAAACATTATGATCAACGAAAAACAAAACAGCTTGATGCGTCATCGTTCATTTTACCAACAGATATAGCGCCGTTTTTCCTTCTTTAACCTTTGTTGTCCCTGGCCACAATTTTCTTTCTCTTTATTTAAAATTTTTATGGTAAATATCGTCAATATGACACTCATAATTCCAGTTTAATTTTTAATCCGTGGCAAAAGGAAAAAAGGACCACCGTTATCATGTGCAGTCTTATGATGAAAAAATAATTCGTAAATACCGCAATATGGGCAGCACTCTCCGACGGGGATAACCGGATCTTTGCAACTTACAGCTTGGCAAGCAGGTTTGACAACGCGGCACGTTGCGGAAACTTGCCCGTGGCATTCGCAAAATAAACATACGTCATCTTCGTAACTCAACCAAGATCGCCTGCCGTCGCACTCTGAAACCACCAAATTAAAGACAAATCAAAATTGTTTATTCAGGACAGGATCAAATTACTGATTTTAACCTATATCTTTCAGTAATACATTTGTATTGAGTCTTATCTAAATCGAGTGAGAATTTAAAAGTTTACAATTTTTGAAGATTTTCATCTGGAATTTCGTTCTAATCCTCTCTAGCAGCGCATTAAAAAGCGGATTGACTCATTGCAGTTTTGGTTCTCAGGAGATGTAGTTCTCTACAGTGACTACTGTCTCCTCCAGGCCTTACTACCTCGGAATTCGGATTTTATCATCATATTCCTTATTATAATCATTGTTAATATTACCATTATAATAGTCGGAGTTTTTCATTGAAAATGTATTTGAAGTATACTTACTCCTCCTTAAAGGTTCTGATTTGCATTTCGGACAACACTCCCCACTTTCTGATGGATAAACAATTTCTTTACAGCCCATCAACCCAGTGTCACATTTGATGTGCATACAGTCAGTCAGGTTTCCTTTAATACACTCACACAATTCACAATAGTCGTTAAACACGTCGCCTGTCTTGTGATATATTGGGGCTTCTTCTCCGTCATTGAATACTTTGTCGCCGTATCTGCACTTCCCGTCAGCTACGATCCCTAAAAAGACATTACGGAACACAGATGTGGTTAAGGAAAGACGTGTCTTCGTATGGTTTCGGGCGTGGGTCTAAGGAAAAATTCTGAGTCCCCTGAAGTATTCTACCGATGCTACACCACAGAGCAACAGAAGACTCTGTGAGGTAAGAAATTACAGGTTCAAATATGACAGGCGATGTGCGCGCATATACTGCAAAGATCAGCCATGTAGAAGGCCACAATTTCGAGTATTGAGAGGCTAGGGACAGTCAAGGAATTGAAAGGGATTTGTGGTGGTCTCAGAAGAGAATTTCGGGAGACTGTCTGTAACTTAATAACTTTAAGTGTGAATGAAAATCCCAAAGCCGTAGACTATGACCCTTCCTTTAGCTACCCTCAAACTCTTTTAGGTTTTAGCGATAATGCATTTTCAAAGAGTTAGGTAAAAAAAAAAAAAGGTTAGGCAAAACCGAGTGGCAGAAGTTCACTCAGACACAGTATTTTCCGCAGCCCAGTTAAGGAAACAGAAAAAAACACGGATGCAAATGAAGGTTATCTTGGCAGGATATAGAGAAAGTGAGGGAGCGAAAATGGGAGCGCTTAGCCCACTTATGATGGGACAATCGATTTGCGTGCAGGTTGGATACCTGACTCTTTAAAAATTTTAATTTTAGCGAAAATTAAAAGTTTGAGAAACGCAAATTGCTTTATAATTTCCTCTACCTGGATTCACGCTTTTTTTGTAGATGAAGATTGTCTTCTTCGATCCTGCTCCACCGGGACATTTGCTTTCTTTTTCCATTTTGAAATCATTTGGGTCCCATTTTGCTTCGTTTCCATTTAAACACGAAATGTCTTTCTTTATCCCCTGGATTCCAATGATGGCATAATCCTGGCCTTCACTGCACTGATCAATGGGTCTCTCTGCTCCGGCTTTAATCTTCTTGTATGACTTCTTGCCGAATACTTTCGCCTTTTTCAGTTTCCCAGAACTGTAGCAACCCACTGGTTCATAATTTGAAGGACCTTGAATTTCGTTAAAAAAAAAAAAAAAAGAGCGAGTTAAGACTGCACAAAAGGTGCTAGTTAATAGACGAAATATAGGGAACGCCTGAGGTTCTCTTGAAAGAACGCAACAACAAATTCTAATGTCGAGGTGCGAAGAACATTAGAAACTGATAATTGTACCTGCTCTTTTGTACCGACGTAAGTCGTTTAAGTCCCTCGATCCCTGAAAATAAGAAAATGTCAGTTCACTTGTTGATCGGCGAATTTCTAATTTGGAAATACAAAAAAGATTACGGAGTAAAGAAAACAGAGATGGTGAGCGCGGCCAGAATGACAAGTCCACAAAGGATTGTGGGTTTGAACCGGATGCACCATAGAAATTGTCGGGAATGAAGACGAAGAAAGATCTAAGTGAATTAAGGACTTGTGCTTGATCGGCTAAAATTTCTATCGATGAGCACTGCGATTAAAAGCTGCCTGAATTCTGACTAGTTGTGCGTTTTGACAATGAAAAAAAAAACTATTTTACAAACCTTAACAGGATTGCCATTCACTACGAATGCTGTCATTAAGACAAGGCTGGCGAGTAAAATCACCTGTAAATAAAAAAAAAGGTCAAGGTACGTCACAGCCTGTTACTTAACATTTATAAAACTTCGATACGTTGACTTTAATCAACAATGAAAAAATAAGGGTCATAGCTTTTGAGTTAAACACATGACGCCAAAATTGAAGCATTTCTACAAAAATCATCAATAGTGTTTAACCTGTCTTTTTTTTAAAAGAACAAAAATGATCCCAACTTGTCAGGTAATAACTGTGCTGTAATAACTGTGTTTCCATGAAATATTTGATGAAAAATACGAAAAGTTGAGGTAGAATCGAGCCCTCATTACCTGTTACCTATTGTAATGAAATAAGGCATAACACCGAGATGATATCAAAACAGGTGTGTATGCGTGGCTCCTTTAATCAGTAATGAAATTTTGCTCTGGTGGCAAAAATCAAAAAAGGTAACCTACTAACAAAATATTTTCTTAGCTTTTTAACTTGGTGCTTGACAGTTTAAAAAGCGAAATTAAGTTCCTACTTACGTTCATCACTTTTCTTGGTTGTTGGAGAAGTTCTGCTTCGTCTCTTTTTGCTAATCTCAGAACGAAACCTAGAATTGTGGAAGAAAATTAAGATTTCCAGGGCATATGTTAATTCACTGACGAGCAACATACAATACTGCCGGAAAGAAACATGTTGAGTGCTATGCCTTTGTTTCTCGGACGCTTTTCGACATCTTCTCTTTTTTTTCTCTTTTTTGCTTTTGATCTACGTTACTTTCATTGGTAAAGAAGTTTTTCGTGCAATACCTCAATTTGATTTCCTCATTGCTATGTTTGGCAGTTAAAACTAATCAAATATTGTCAGGTGAATCGCCGATTTACGATTTCCAAACGTGCTCCGACAATAATTTCACTCCCATGTGTTTGAAAGTGTCATTAAACCGGCAGAGAATCTTGTTGTTTGAATTCCTCGCCTTATTTTGATTCTTTTCTCGTTCCTCTTTATAATTGCATTTCGTCAAACACCTTCCTTTACTTCTCAGCGAACAGATAAGGCTATCAAAATAAGCAATTAGCACAGCAAAAAATCGTTATTATTAACCACCAAAATCCATTTACAAACCTCGTAAAATGTGATTTTGTGGCTATCGGTAAACTAACGATTAGAGTAAAACAACGGGCACTTGTGAGATACCATTTTTAGCTTTACTTTACCTTCGTTTACAGCTGCATTCACGCAGATTAGGAACTGGAAATCTAGAGACCCTTTCAAATTAGATATTTAATCCTTATGAGGTAGAAAATTCTTCCCGAGAGCGTAAAGAGTCTTAGAGACTCTATGGAAACGAAAAGACGGTATACAAGGTCGAAAATCCATTTAGTCTTCAATTAGTGAAAATCGTTCTTCTATGCTGAAATTCGAGCAAGATTTACCTTCATGGAACTTCATTAAATACTATAAAAGTCTTTTTTGAAAATCTTAAGAGACGCATCACAAATTGATCACATATCTTGAAAAGAAAAACTAGATAATATTAGTCGCTGCTTTAAACTCATAAAAGAAAAGTGCCAAATTATTGACACTTTAATCAAAACGAAATATAAAGCTTTAATCCCACTTTTAACCAAATTATGATATTGTTATGAAACTGGCACTTTAGAAGAAGACTTGACGTATTCCTGTCTTAATAATCCCATTTAACAATGAGTCAAATTAAATTTTGTGTGTTTGGTCGCTGGATGGCCGTCATGAACAAATTTATACATAGTAAACTTAAGTTTTTCATTGAATTAACACTGACTGAAGTTTCCAAAGCGAAAAAGGTTGAACTCTTTTTCTGCCTTTTTGTAGTCAATCTACTAAGTTTTATTTTTCTATTTATTTTTAAATCGATCATATATCCCTTTTGCTAAAGGTAGATATTGTCATGGAATAAAGAAATGTAAGTTTCTATACGGTCATTACCAGAGATTAATTTGAAGTGGACCTGCGCTATACTGATCTCGAATTTCGAGTTGATAAGCTAAAGAGGAAAACAGAAACGAGTTTCTTTCTCAACTTCGTGTCCAGGAGGAGCATTTCATGGGGAATAGCGAGGTGATCGCTTAATGCAGGTTCCAAAGAATAGGGGTATCCTAAAAGAACGATGAAAAACGCCATTTTATGCCTAATTGACCCCTCATGTACAAAATATCGCTCAAAAATACTGTTAACATTGATTTCGGGAGTTAAACATGGATTAGATTTTATTTTAAAGATTATCCCCAATTTTATTTGAGTGGTTCCACTATAGTTGATTGTTCAATACAGGTCCTGAGCGATACAATCAGGCCGTCGGGACTCAGTAAGGGGTGAGCACGACGTACCGCTTACTAGAGTTGAAAATTACAGTACTACGGGGAAAAAAATTCGGAAATTTGAAAACCGAACGCTTAGACGGAGTGACTGCTAAATACAGCTTCGACTGTATTACCAACCGCAGTCTTTCTCGCGGTGAACATGATCATTCCAGCCCAAATCAACCGACGCTCGGAACGTCAGATCTGAAACTCTTTACGGTGGCCAATTTACGTTATCACTGAACTCAGTAGATAATTCTAAATTACCTTGTGAAATCAATCGACAGTTTGCATGGGTAATAGAAATATGCAACTGCATGATTTCAAATGGCCTTATATTAAAACATCGATCAAACAGACAAAAGGTTGGAACAAAACAAAAACACTGACAAAAATAATTAAGTGAGAAGGAACGATCTTTCAGTGGATTGGTTGGAACAAGGAAGAACATTTGTGCGATAAAATATCACCTATTAGGTACTTTTATGGACCGAAATGCTTCAAATCTACGTGCAATCAACTGAATCTTTTCTATTTTTTTCCACATCATTCATATTTTGAAGAGGACCGTGAGAATTGTCTTCTTGTCTCTTCTTCTTCGTCACTACCAACTAATTCGAAATAATAACGCCAGCAACTTAAACGAGAGACTTTAACAGGTTACTTCATCTAACTTTTCAGTAACTTACTTAAGGTGTGTAAGTGTACAATATGGCTTAAAAGAATAACTTAATATCGGGTCTGAGTCGGAAATTATAATGTAACCATTTGCTGAGGTTTAATTTTATCTATGGTTACCAATTTCGCATTTTCTTTACGTACGACAAGGTAACAAATTCGAACGAAGAAAAATTAAATTCGAACCTAGGACTCAAATTGATCGAAGGGTTAATAGACTGACTATGGCTGAGTAGCAAAAGATTTTAAACAGTTAAAAATCTCATGTGAGAAGTTATTTTAAACTCATATGGCGCTTGTGTTTATTCCACGTATGACAGTAATCCATGCATGTGTTGACTAACCGAGTGCTTAGAGTGCTTCGACATCATGTTGCGTGATAGTTAATAGCCACTGAATGAATTAACGCTACTGGCAACACTCTATTCCCGACTACTTGGTGGGTCAGTTGCTGATCACAAGAAAGTTTATTGTAGCATGTTATAAGATATAAGCTGCTTTCATATCCCTTCTTTTTCCATTACCCCTCTCCATCGTTTCTTTTTCTCATTTTTTTTTTCTTCCTCTTGGCATATTCAGCACCCGGACCGAGAACTTGAGTTTTCCATTTACCAATATCTAACTGCTAATCGGAGTGGATGAAAGATTCTTAATGTTCAGATGCAGCTTTCATTTTATATGTTTAATATAACTCCTTAGTTACTTGACAAAATAAAAAATTTGCGCATGAAAACATGATCAGAAAATGTTTATTTTTTTGAAAACCGTTGCTACACGAATGTAGATGCTAGTTTATCCCGAAGGAAGAAAAAATAAAAGCACCATCGTGCTTTACCCAAAGTTTTCATCTTTATATCAAAGATCTTAAAGTTAATTCCACATCCTTACTAAGGAATAGTCCAATACATTAAGACCTTGATTCGGGCTTGCACCGAAGATATATACTATTTAGAGTTAAAGGGTTAAGTTATGAGTTTAAGATGAAAGAGAATTTAGTTTTGTCATTTTATACTGTAATCTATTAAGCAGAAGTATGCAGGTTCTAGTTGCTTTCCTTAATTTTCAAAGAGAAGTTGGTATCCCAAATGGATTTCTACAAAAAATTCCATAAACACTTTGATTTAGGTGTGCTTTAAAATTGTATATAGAAAGTTTTTTTAAGCAAGCCAGTAAAACTAAGAGTTCATTCAGCTGTGTTATGAAAAGACAATTCATAACTTCTCGTTATTTTTCAAAGAGTAATTTGTTCTTCGTGAGGATTTCTACCAAAAACTGTCATTAACCTGATTTTTTTAATTCTGTAGGCCATAATCCTTACCTGAATGTTTGCTTTGTTCCGCTTCGTCCTATATGAAAATGTGATGTCCTTATTTTCGCTTTTCAAGAAAACATTTGAACATCGTATTTATAACAGGCTATCATTGTTTCTCTCTTGATTGGATTATTCTTAACAACCGAAGGAATATCTGTCAAAACAAGAAGCGCTTATTTACAAACTACAATAGATAATTAATTGCCAGCTCACAATATTATTTCCAAGTAGGTAGAATATACATCTTTTGTCGATCCAATAAGGTGTTAGAAAGTGATAAATTCGTCTAGGTCTTGATACACGTAATACTTACTAGCCGTAGTTTTGAGAGAATCAGCTCGTATGTGCTTTGCCAGATCCTATTCTCAGAATAGAGAGAGATTCAATATGACATAATCAATATTAGCCGGACTCGGCAATTTTTCTCAAAAACATCTTGGTCATGTCCTTATGGTAATTTCTCATTGTACTCATATCACATAATAGGAAAATTATAAATTACCACTTCGTGAAACACCCCGTGCCAAACAAAACCCAAGTTTATGTAAATTGCTTTATTTTCGACGGCTTTTAGCTCTTGGTTATGAATTTGTTGGAACTGTTTTGTCTCACTCGAGTGAATAACAAAGCCATCATTTGTTATTGATAAGAAGTTTTGTTTAACCCGCATCTGTGGCTTGAAATTTCTGTTAGAACATGACTGAAATTTTTTCTCGAAAAAAATAAGAAAAGCCGGGAACAACTTGCAGGCTAGTAAAAGTTCTTATCGGTTGGGCAAACATTGAAATTTTATCAGTTGGAAATATTTCAAAATATTCTGATAGATATGCTCGGGCCAATATACGCACAAAAGACACGAGGAGGATGTATTTCTAAACTTTCCTTTGAGGGCCAAAAACTGGCATTTATTGAGACTCTTAATAGCCCTTGTTTGTAACGTCTGTCTTTTATGGCAAGGGCAGACAATTGAAATGCAGTCTGAATGTCATGTACTGGTTCATGAAAAGTGTCTGAGTTTTCAGTCCAAAATTTTTTTTCGAAGCGTTATTTGTCAAGAAAAAAATTGCTCTTTTGAAATCAATTTTGAACGAGATAGGAGATATCAAGTACAATTAAAACTTGCCGAAATCTCTTTAATTAGTAAAAGGATGTTCGATCATATCAAAGTGTCCGCTTCCAAATTGAAAGATATTGTACTGAAAACAAAGATAGATACGAGAGCGAGTTGAGCAAAGCTAAAATTGCTCAGATCTACATTCTATATAGAAGTCGGACATTCACGTAGGCATTAAGATTTTCCTCTTTTTTTTTCTGGGATAGTCTGATAAAAACTTTCTCAGCAAAGAGAATTTCGAGGACATATCACCAATTAGCACTATTACAGCAGTAATGACAAAAGACGATAAAAAAAAAAACTCACTGCAATAGAATTTACGCGTGTTAAGTTAACAAATCCTCACTTCAGCCTTCTGATAAAATTAAATTGTGAAACCAATAGTTACTTGGACAGAAGGTTGCGACCATTCTAATTTATTTTTCCATTCGTGGTCTTAACTAAACTTCTCTCTACCTTCATCCCACTTGTACAAGTTTGTTTGTTTTGGAGAGCATTAACAATCAACGGCACCCTTCCACACCACGAGGATCAAGATTTCAAAAAACCCAACTGTATTTCTACGGTCCAAGCTAATGTAGTCTAATTGTCCACCGAAAATAATTTTGAAAACACCGGCCATGCGTCCTCTTATGTAGAATGAACTTGCTGACTTTAGAAATTTTGGTTGGAGGTTATGATAGCAGAGAAAAAAAAAGAAAAGAAAAACCTGTTGTGCGCATGCTCGAGTATGCAGACAAGATTTGGGTCGATGATAACACGTGCAACGACAGCGTGTAGTGGAAATGCAGCTTCTGCTATTATAAATTGTAGTTGGAATCATATATGCCTTTTCGCGTAACTTCAAATTTTTACGAAGAACACTGAAAGTTGTACTAAAGTGGAGCGAGGCTTTTCTTCGTTTCGGGTGATTGGTAAAGCAAGATTCAAATATATACGTATTTTATAAATCACATTCAAAGAGAATTCTCGAAGACCTGGGCTATTCTTTGAACTAATGAATAGCGTCCAATGTAATAACTTCAGGGATTCTATTTCAATGGCGGTGAAAAAAATTAGTTAGCGTCAGCTTCTGCTACATACTACTTCTTTGAGGAACTTAGCTACTCTTGCAAATCATGGCTCGCCATCCAACTGTTACCAAGAATGAAAAAATGATGTTACGAGACTGTTAGTTTAAATCTACAAGAATTTTTAAAGGAATGCGGCTTGAAAGTTTACTAATAAATTGTCCAACATTTAAAACTTTGTATCTTCCGAAACCTGAACAGTAACTTCCTGTGATTCAGGGACTGTTGCATTCGCTGGATTCTCAGAGTCTTCAGCAAATGCCTGGTGAGTTATGCCAACTTCCGGTTCACTGATGTTCCCCAACCTTGTTGCCGCTGATCCACACAGCACTGACGCGTCCATCTCGAACTCAGTTCCTTTTGCTGCTTTCATTTTCTCCCGGCGGGATATCCAGTGGAAGGTGACCGCGATGAGTACTAGGACGGTGAAATAAGCAATAACTAACCCGATTAATAATTTCTTTTCAGACCGACTCGGGGCTTCAGTGGTCTTCTCACCTGTGTCTAGAGTTAAGAAAAAAAATAGTTGTTTGGAGAAGAAATTTGTCATGAGAACGCAAAGTTTTTCTTGGATTTCAGTTAGGTTCGCTTTTTGAGAAACGCTGAAAGGGAAACTACCATGAACTTATATTATTGACTGAGTGAGAGGCCTAAACGGAGAATATTTGGCTCGACGTCATGAATACAGACCGATCGAAAAAAGATTTTACATTAAAAGCTTTTCCTGAGTGAGTTACTTGATGCATCGCAACTTGTGAACAAAAATCGTTCGTTCGCACTTTCCAACGAATAATTTATCTCTATTTATGCCATGGTGAAATGAGAAACGATGATAACATACGCAGAAATAAGGAAATCTTTTTTAGTAAATACGGAAGTGTCCCCACTGCCTTAATCCTGAGAACTTCAAAGTCAGAGTAAATGTGTTTAATGTCACATGTTAACACCTATACCTTTCTCTTGGGCAGTTGACGGGCCGCCTGTAGGAGACAAAGCTGTAGGTGTAGGTGACGCTGGAGAGGTCGATGAGGAGGATTGAGCTGAAGACCAAGCTGTAGGTGTAGGTGACGCTGATGGGGCTGATGGGAAGGATTGATATGAAGACCAAGCTGTAAGTGACGTTGGAGGGGCTGATTGGGAGGATTGAGCTGAAGACCAAGCTGTAGGTGTAGGTGACGCTGGTGGGGCTGATGGGAAGGATTTAGATGAAGACAAAGGTGTAGGCGAAGTAGATGCTTGATGGGCTGTAGTCGAAACTGTTGATGATGGACAAGGCGTACTTTCTGATCGCCAGGTGGAATTTGTTGTGCAACATCCTGTTTAAAAAAGAGGAATATGGAATATAAATATGATAATGAAAAATGACCAAAACATCAACGTTGCCTTTCTTGAAAGTATTTAGAGTGCTATATTCTTACAATATCACTCAATGTTTGGAGTGACCCTTCGGAAGATGCACAAAGAATTTAAGAGCGGCACTGGCTTCGGTATTCGGGATCTTGAGTCTCAAATGAAAAAAAAAAAACAATTCGGTTTTGCTATGAAGAGATCCGTGATCCCTGGGTAAATATTACTGGGAGCAAGGATGGGGCAGTGATGAGAGTGCTCGCCTCCCACCGCTGTGGCCTGGGTTCGATTCCCGGAGTTGGCGTCACTTGTGGTTTGAGTTTCTTGAAGGTTCTCGCCCTGGCTCCGAGTCTCCGAGGGTTTTCCTCCAGGTCCTCAGGTTTTCGTCCCTCCACTAAAAACCTCATTCCAAATTCGAACTGGAAACGGTGGACAAGAAGAGCATGTCCATTTATAAATTACAAACAGAAAAACTGAAAAAAGATATTTATTGGAAAGAAATGTATAGGAAACTCCCGAGGTGGAGGAAACATGTCAATGTCAAGTTAAACTAAAAAAAAACCCAAGTATCTTAGGTTTTTTGAAAGAGCATTTGATGTAACTCATGTAGAAACTGTTTACACTTTTCAGAGTGATAGGAAGCGAAAGTGATGGCTAAAATATGAATCCTCTTACAACAGTTAACACTGATGGAAGTTAATCACAATATTAAGTGATTGATAGCCCCGGAAACTAATAATGTTTAGCTGATTTACTCGAAACACAAAAATCGACTGTAAAGATGTGCTAGAAGATAATGGTCTTGACGCAAGGATCATCACCCAAAATTTATTATTTAGGGTATAGTGTATGTATCCCAAATAACCTTAAAAATCAAAACGGGACAAAGTTTCCGGGTCCTTACGAAAATTCTGTCAAAAACGTAGAAAAGAAAATCCGGCCATCGATCAGTCTATCAGTTGGGCAGTCTGGCAAGACTCCACATTATAAATTCAAGCTTAGCTAACTATATGAACCCTATAATGGCCTGCTACTCAGCAATTAACGCGATTTCCGTCTCGATCGAAAATTAAAATCGGTTAAACGTTTTACTTCAGTGAAGGAAATTTAAGCGGTCGTTTGTGTAGGCGCGGAAACTTTCATCAATCAACAAAAAAAAAAACTGAATCCGTACGTGCATGTGTGACGTTTTTGCTTTCAACACTGAGGTTTTTTTTTTTAATCAAGAAACTACAAATTTAGCAAAATCCCTCAGATAGGGTTGTACAAATCAGTTTGAGATTATTTTATCTTACCTGATGAGCCAGAGGCAAAGGTCGGAATGGCCAAAAATAAAACGAAACCGAGGAAGAGACCAAGGTACATATAATTCTGAGACATTTTATGCTTGAGAGATGAGTCTTCGGATCAAACACCGATGGGCTGTGCGTGAAGAGTTGCACCGTCAGTCTGATTCAACCAACCGATAATCATAGACCCTGAACCGAGTGATCTGTTTATCAGCGCCGATGCAAATCTACCATTGAGGAGAGAGGGGACCTTGGGTAAGGAAATCGTCTTCCAGTAGCCGGTTTCGTTACGTTTCCGGTTTTCTACGGTTCGAATTCGCTACTTGTTCGCTTCACCGAACATTGTGTTTGCTACATCAGTAAATCCAGTTTGCTATTTCATTTTTTAAATCACAATAACGATACAGCGAAAACGTCGATTCGATACTTACCCAAAAATTTACGTATTGAATTAAATCGAACTTTAGCTCTCTGAAAAGCGATATTAGCAACAGACTTGCACACCTGTTTCCGCTTTTTTCTTAAGATTCTAAGCGTATGGTTTTTTCCTTCTTCTTTTTCCTTTTTTAAATCAATTATTTCTCTTGTCTGGACCTTTCAATCCCTATTATCTGCTCACTGATTTTTTTCTAAAATGACAGATCTTCGACACCCTTCGTCCTGCAGAAATCCAATACCATGGATCACTGCGACTCATCGATCGAGTTTCCGCCAGAGTCCAGCTGGCAAAACGAATCAATTTCCGGTATTAGACTAAAATCCCATTTATCATCAAAAATCAAATGTTGAAATTCTTAGATCAGTAGATGCTATTTAACCCTAATGGCCTAACTCAGCTTCTTTTTAAGAAATTTCAGCGATCTTTGTAACTGTTAGCAATCAAATGAAAATGTACTCTCATTATGATATAAAGCGGAAACAACACAATATCGTAGGTAGCAAGCGAGGTCAGGTTCGTGATTGAGCGCGTTGCTGCGGTTTAATGATTATTTCAGTTCGCAGCGTTTGAAGCGCGGTGTTGATATTGACCGACAGATTTGACGAAGATGAACGCGTTACTGCGGTTTAATAATCATTTCTGTTTGCGGCGGTTGAAGCGCGGTGTTGATATTGACTAACAGATTTGACAAAGATGAACGCGTTACTGTGGTTTAATAATTATTTCTGTTCGCAGCGGTTGAAGCGCGGTGTTGATATTGACTAACAGATTTGACAAGGATGAACTGCTTTGGGTAGGAAATATGAACAAAATTTTCTGTGGCAGGTTATGATGTTGTGGCATACTGAAATTGAAAATGAATTGAAGTACATGAAATAACTATCTCAAGAGCAACTGTTTCCATGGCTGTTGGAGGGTATGTTGCTACGTTTGTCAAAATGTTGGATATCAAAAATATCTGCAGCATTCCAGTAAGAAAAGAGAAATGAAAAACAGTAACCTAAGGAAAAACTTAAGCTACTACATCAAGAACATGACTCAAGATCGATCCGATACCCCATGCAGTTGTTAAGAACTCGTAACCATGATGGTAAACTCAACATTCCTTCTGGATATAGGGCACCATCCATACTTCATTTGGAGCTCTCCGAGTTAAACTAATTTTTCTCACCTTTAACAACAAAATTGGAATTTCCAATCAAGAGAGAAATGAATAGAAGCGTCAAACAGTGTCCTGAGGTCATCTTAAAACATATATTTCCAATTCCACCGGTTCACCGTCAGACGTCAGTAAGCCGGGTGGGCTTCAATAGTGAGCCATTTTGTTTCCTTATGATATGACGCTGAAACCTCAGAAGAGAGGAGATTGGAACGAGACACACTGCGTCTCGACCCAGCCAGTTCCCGTACGAACCACAATCTGCGAATCGCTTTCCCTCTATGCTCGATTGTAAGAGACACAATACGACCAAAAAGTATTCCAATCGACCGTCAGCCAGTTTTTTTCTTTTTATTTTATGTCGTATCCGATCCAATAATATCCATTGTAGGGCAATTTTCAAATGAGTGTCGAAAAAGGCCGGAAAAGATGAGTGCGGAATCATACTAACTTACCGGTCCTTACTGCGCTTTGTGATTGATTACAATGGCAATATCGATCACGTTTTTCAAATGCATTTGCTCCTAACTGTGAATTTTGCGTATCGCCGGAATCATAAAAAGTTGAATGCGTTTTGAGGTTGCAGGGAGCCGCCATTTTTAATCTTGCCTAGCTAGCTAACTCCGTGATTACTCGAGTCGAATGAAACAAAGTCTCGTACTACTTTCTTTATCTCTTTGAGATCTGATTGAAGATTTGACGCCACAAGAAAAGGCGTCCTTGACTCATTTCTAGCAATAACTTGAGCTGCAGGTGTTTGAAAACCGTGGGTCTTACGTGCGCAGACAGCTCTCCGAATCGATTTAAATGACGTCGTCTAAAATCGAGTTTTCAGCACCTTTGAAGGAAGTTTTCGAACGGGTAGTTTCTTCTTTATAATCGCGCAAGTAGCGTTAAGAATTAAATATTTTTTTATTCAGTTTCGGGACGTTATTTCCTTATAAAAATTTCAGAATTTCGCTGACACGCAGTGAAGTCGACGCACTATTCCACAGTCTTGAAGGTGCCACAGATAAGTCTTTTGCAATAAGTTTTTTGCCGTGATAGAAAAAAAAAACTTGTTTTACGCATGCCCGAGGATGCAGTCAACTGTAGTAGCTGGAGATGATCTTCTTGTTCAATTTTCTTGCTGTGGACTAAAAACTATCATCCATTTCCTAGTGTGGACGAAGGATTTTGTAGCTTTTTACTAATAAAAACGCCGTGTTTAAGATTATCCAGGTAATGTAAACGGGCATCATAGCATCGATGTTTTCAAGAAATACTCTTCTAATCAAAATGAGTAAGAGAGAGACGCATTTAAGTTGGCCGACTGTTCCTTAGCCGTGGAGCTGCTATGGATAAGACTCTACAACAATCTTGCTGATTCTAAAACCCGTTTTTCTGATCAATTTTCTTACTCGACGTTACTCGATCGATGATATAAAGCGAGTCAGCTATTCTAAGATACTAAGGCCCGCATAGCAAACCACTACGGTGGTACTGAAGTAGAATGGTGTTTAGTAGATAAATCTACAAGAATTTACAATGTAAATGAAGTTTATGTATTTTTTTTTGTCCTCAACTTAAAACTTTGTGTTGTTATTAAAGAGAACTGTAACATTCTCTGGACTCTCGGAGTCTTCAGCAACTGCTTGGTGAGTTATGCCAACTTCCAGCGGTGACGTGTTCATCTGTAACTCATCTCCATTTGTCGTATCCTTTTTCGTTTGGCGTGACAACCAGTAAAGCATGGCTGCAACTACTGCCAAGGTGACGAAATAGGCGATAACAAACCCGCTTAAACGCCAAGCTGAGAAAGAAAAAGTATGTCTTAGTTTCTAGTTCAAAACGAAATTTAATTTAAATTTAGCAGCGCAATACTATTGATATTCAATAATTGGGGAAAATGTCCCCTAACAAACTTAAGCTTTACTCCCTTCCAGGGCATGAGAAATTGATATCCGTAACAAATAAAAGGCGACCATGAATAATTTTCGAGTGATCTAAGACTTATATCGATTTGTACGTCAGGTGTACTTGAATCTCATACTTTTGAGTAAGCGCAAAAAACGTTTTTCTACCGACAAGACTCTGCTGATCTGCTAATCATTTGTTTCGATAGGTGGAAGACTTGCAGCAAAGTCGGAATGGGGCCGGGAGTCCTCATGTCGATTGTCGGTTAGAATTTCATCACTTTGTGGGTAGTTGGTTAAATTTTTGTATTTCTAATGGTAGTCAGTAAATCTGAATAATGATTCAAAATGCAAGTTAATTATTCATATACGTTGTAGGCGGACGTTGTTCTCAGAATGAGCCCGCGCTCCTTCACTGCCATTAAAAAGTTTGAAAAATTCTTAAATTTGAGTTGTCTACCTCTTAAGCAGAATGCTCTTCTTTCTGAATACATAAACATCGATAATTTTGAACCATGTCCAGTTTGTCGCTTAATATTTTCTTGTCGCTAATTGGTAATTATTTTTGCGTTTTGTCAGTAGTCAGTTGTTGCTAGTCGGTTTATTTTGTTCAGACCCTCTTACAGATTATGCTTTTATACTTACTCTTCGATGAAAATATACGGAAAATATGTCTGTATTAAAGTGTTCAGTCTTTTACAAGTAGTGCGTGTGTCAATGAATCTAGCCTGTACCAGGCATTCAGAGTGCAAAACGGAGCGGAACAGAAATTGTGTGATAGTAGCGGAGGAGTGAAAAAAAAAACGCGAGGAGTTTTTTGGTCAGGTGCGCGGGTAGATGTGGGTAGCATTGCCCCAGTTGGATCATCTGAAATTTGTTGAAATTTTCAAAAAAATTAACCCTTTATTCTCATTCTAGTTAGCTTAGACATGTTTGATTACACGCTTACCTCTCTCTGGCGCAGAAAGTGTTGACTCTCTTGAGGAATTTTCTGTTTGATAAGCGAAAGAGGAAATGTAAATTTAGAGATCAAGGTTATGGATAACAGCTCTTTACCCCTAACTTCCATTATAACATTCAGAAACGTAAATTCCTGCAATATCACTTAATATATAAAACGTATTAAATTAAATTGTATAAAACACGAAGTACTAGTCAGACCTTTTCCCTGAATGAAGTGTTGTGTAGCTAGAAGTTATAATTATAAATTTCGAGCCTGATTTGTCTAAGAATCGACATTATAATTTTGTATTGCAATTAATGTTTTGTAGCATCACCCTCATGAGGACAATGCAGGTAGTGGATGTTATGAGCGACCAAATGTTTTCACTCGCGAGGAACAGGTCCAAAGGAATCAAGTGGCCAAATACTCTATCTATTATTGATAAATATCGATTTTCTCTGATGATTTTTAAGCTTTCCGATGCAGTATTGAATTTAAGTAACGTCCACACGGATTCTTTTTCATTTGTTTAATTGGAGACGTATAACTTTAAACATGACTGTGTGAAAACTGAACGCCTGTAAATTTCCGATCTTACTCTCTCGTTTAAAAAGTTCAAAACAATCTAAAAGACCATGATGGAAACTGAAACAGGACGCACTAAAATGAATTGCGGAAATCTCGCAAGATCAGATAAGTATTTATGAGAACAGGAATGAACTGTAACAGAATAATGAACGAAGATTATTCCTAAAACGAATTTAACATGTTAGTGCCTAACCATTGCAGAGGAGGAAAATCATATCGAGTTAAAATAAAAGTGAGAATCGAAGTTCTCTCGAACAATAGAGCACTTGCTATAATCAATGCAGAAACTGTTTACACTGACAAGTAGCGGAACCTAATTTCAAGAATGTGATCAATTTTGCATAATATATTAGCCTGTAAGGATTTTTTAAATTACTGTTATAAGTCAAAACACAAAAGATGGAAAATATTTTTAAAGATAGCAGACTTAAAAACTTAACTCGAGGATCAGAGCAAACACGTACTATTAGGTGTGAGTGTATATATCCCAAATAACTTTGTAGTATCGAAATCTCAACGAAGTTTCCGGGTCAGTATGCAGATTAAAAATACAACGAGAAATGAAGAAACAACCACCTGGTTGTTTCTATGAATTATCCAGTCTATCAAGCCTCCAAGTTAAGATTTCAAGCTTGGATACATTTATGAAGCTTAGAGTGGTCAGCTACTTTGCAATTTAGGAAATTTCCGCACGTATCTTACATGGTAGGTGAAATAAAAAGTTACACGGTCTGTGAAAGAGCGGAAATTCTCAACAATAAGTGTGGGAAAGGGGGACATTTTTTTAACTTTTTCGAGTTCTACACTTAGAGACTAGAAATGTAAGAAAACCCTAATCCAGGATTAGGATTATTTAACTTAGTAATTTAATAGGAGATTATTTTATCTTACCTGTTGGGGCAGAGGAATCAGCGGTCTGAATGTTCATAAATAGAACGTAACAAAGGCACAGACCTAAACACAGAAAATTCTGAGACATTTTATACCCGAGAAAGTTTCCTTCAGATCGAGAGCTGATGAATTCCACCTTAATAGTAACACTGTAAGTCTGCTTCTAATGTCTAATATTAAAATGACAAGTACCCAAATCTTAAAGGTCACGTTATCATCAACGGTGCATATCTGCTTCGAGGGGGAGGAGGAGGACCCCAGGCAAGGAAATTGGCAAAGCCATAGTGATAATGTAATAATGTTGGTACCAACACAAGGCAGTTCGGGAATCCACGTCGACCAATA